CAGCCCTAGTCATAGGTCTGCAGAGCTTGCCTGATGGGCTTCGTGCATGCGATGCGCGATGCGTTTAAATGCTCGCTCACCTTACTGTGAAAAGAGTATATTGGATCTGTGGCAAAAATTGCGCTGAATATATATAGACTCGTATATAGCAGTTCTGGATAGTAAAAGCACGGAACTGTCAGAGCTGTGGAGCTGGGCCGTATAGAACTCTAAAGTAGATGGTAAATGCGTCTAGTTTTGTCTCTTGAACGAGTATTAGACAGTCGATTAGGCGTGTTTGCAATGCGTTTACTTGTTTCACACAGTTGGGGCTCTGCAGCATAAATCAAGACGTAAGACGACGTAGCGAACCGTCGAACTGACAGTTTTATGACCACAACAAACTGGGCCACATTGCCGGCCATGGCAACCACCAACCCACCCCGTCGCAGCGAACTAATAGGGCATTCTTGGATATGACTTTCCCTTTCTAGTCGCTAGTCAGCATTGCACATTGCAGGGTGTGGGCGGGTCATATTATGACCCACTTAATTACGAAATGGGACCCAATTTGGTATTGCTGAATTTGTAGTAGTTTTTAGCCCTATAATTGGTCAAAGTGGAAATGAATGAATCCATCCAACTTGCATTTCTATTTATAGCTTGTCAAAACTTGACTTAGCCTGATTCCATATGAGCAAACGCTAAGCAGGAGGCCGAGCTCAATCAAGCTCACGTTTGCCGCTTACTCAACGCTCTTTCTTTAAGCTAATAATTTAATTCTAATGCCATAACAACTTTCAACGCTCTTTGCCCAGTGCCAGTGGCAGTGCCAGCTCCAGTTCCAGTTCCAGTTCCGCTCCCCGGTTCACCGAACCTTGAGCCAGAGGCCCCTTTGTGCCGCTAATCTCAAATTGCATTTGATTGTCGCCACGCGAATGAGGTTACACTTACACACACATGCCACATATATGCATTATATATATTCCATATCAATTTACAGTAATTGCAGCTCACGCATGCCCTCCCGACCCACAAAACATGTAAAATAAAAAACACGAAGGAAACTTCAGCCAAAGCGCCAACAGGCGAAAATAAAAAGCAAACAAGCTGAGTCCCACTGACTGCATAATACCCGTACACTGACTCAAAAACAAACTAAACTTTTTTTCTTAATAAAAATATATAAAAAAAAATTATAGGAGTCTTGCGCCTGCAGCTCCAAAATTGCTGAAGATGTTTATTTAAAAAAAAAAAACATAATTAATTCCACCTACTTTTTAATTTATTATTGTTTTTTATATATATTTTTTTTTTCAACTGCTTATAGATAGTACACCATTTCTATGAACGGCTGATATCTCTAAAATCAAACCAAATCTAAAGCAAATGAATTTGGCCAAAAGTAACTGAATTTTTAAACATTTTTTTTTTATTTTTATTTTTTTTTTAATATTTGTTTTGTTTTTTATTTGGTGTGATGCAGCAGTACTATTTTAATGAACACTATGCCTTTGCGTTTTTATTATTATTAAACTGAATTTGTCAACAATTCTGAAGAGCTCATATATATATATATATATATATATATATACATATTTATATATATATATACCCTTATCCATGTACCAAAACTAATTGACTCTTGTCTTTTCCTTAGAAGAAAACTAAATGTACGAAAGACTAAACAATTGAAATTATTTTTAAAAGCAAAGCCAACGCAATTGGCCAAAAGCGCTCAAGTTGAATGAACCGCAGATGGCCCAAAGCAAAAAAACAAAACCAAAAAGTAAAATCAAATGAAATGTGTTTCAAAATATACGTCTAAAGGTGTAGACGGAAATTCATATGTGAAAGAAAAGAAACATATTCCGCGTACAAAATCAAAGAGAATATTTCGAGAGTACTTGATACAGATATAGATATATATATACATTATATATATATATATATATATATACATGCATATTCAGTAATATCTATGAGACGCCTCACTGTACAGTGAAAACTCGTGAGCAGAAATCAATTTGATTCAAATAGCAGGCAGCTCGCAGCCTTGCTCGAGTTGGCTTTGGGATCTATTTCATTTATTTCCTTTATTTCATTTATTTCTCTTACTTATTTTACTTCTTTTCGATTGCTTTATTCGCAATCACTTTCTTTTTGCTTGACTTTCTGCTACTCTCTTTCATTTCAATTTGCTTCTTTTCAATCTAAGTCAACTTTCATGTCTCACGCTTCACCAGCGACTTCTCAACTTCACATTCAATTTGCAGTCAATTTTCATTGACTTAAGTAAAAGTCTGTTAGAATAAAAAATAAGGATCAAATATTCCTAATATATTAAACATTTTTATTATTATTATTTATAAAAAAAGAAAACTTTTGTTTAGAAAATAAATTCATAATAAGTTTACAATTTTTTTATTGTTTTACTTTTTTTTTTGAATACATTGAATATTTTATTTGATTTCATATTATTTGTTAATTACATTTTTTGTATTTATTTATTTGTTTACTTTATTTTATTTTTTAATTTTAGATTATTTAATTAAATTTTTTTTGTATCATTTATTGATTTATTGTTTATTTACTTATTTCGTTTTTTTTATTATATTTATTTTTCTAATATAAATTAATAATAATAACAAATAAATAATATACAAAAGATTATATATATATATATATATATTTTTTTTAGAAATATATATACCTATATATATATATATATCTGTTGAACGTTAATGGATCAATATTTCGGCTGTAAATCGACATTCGTGTTAAACAAACAATTTAATTTATGTTTCTCTCTCTCCCTCTCGCTGTCTTTCTCCCTCTCTTGATTTGCGCAAATTTTTAGCTTAAATTGCTTGCAAAATGAGATCATTTTCTCGCTCGTTCGCTCCATGAAAACCATCCAAAAAAAAAGACCTTGTTCAAAATTTGAAATGCAGGTCAAAATTTGTATACAAATTAATGCACACAACTACTTGCATTTATAATATATACATTTGTTTATATCGAAGTCGTTTGGATTTCCGTTCAGAATTCACTTTAAGCGAGGCGTTTAAAAACGCTAGCGTTTTTAGTCCCCTTGCGGTTTGGATGAAGTGCAACGGCCAAAAGTTAATTTTATATACATATACATATATACATATATACATATAGCAGAATCATATACATTTTATTTATATGTATCTCTGATCCGATGTCTTGCAGCGTTTAAAACGCGCGCGATTTGGTAGCGTTTTTAGCAACGATAAACTAGCAAAAATATTACCGTTACTTCAAGTGAAAGTACAGTCAATTGTGGGCGACTGCCAACCTACCTCACACCGCACCACATACCAGCAGCTTGACACTCAAAAAATAAAAATAATAGCCCGCTTTTACACTCACCTGTTGCTGCTGCTGCTAATTGTTGTTCTTCTTTTTTGTAGTTTTTTTTATTATTTTTCTTGTTTTTTTTTCAACAGGTTTTTTTTCTAGCTGAAGCTTGTTCAATTTGTACTCTGCGCAAAATATGAATAGAAAATATAAGTTTATCAATCACTCTCAAACTGTGACCAGCGGTGACTCGCAAACTGTACATGCGAGGCGGGAGCGTATCGAAGCTAATAAAAGCTGATGCAGCGCACATAGTCTATGGCCTTGTGTTTACAGTCACTTTATAACTGTAACTAGCAATGGCTTGAAAACTGTATGTGTAAATCTTTAAAGTTCTATGAGAAGATTGCAACATTGGCATGCTCCATATTGCTATGTAAATACAGGGTATACGAAATGTCACAATATATTACAGCATGTGTGTGTGAATGTTTTTATCTACATATTTGTATCTTATCTTATCGTGTGCCTTGAGCAATTTCTCATTATCAACTGATAAGAGCGACGGACGGCTGTGCCTCAAAATCGATCGCTGTGGTTACAAATTGTTCTTATTCTACTACAACTACTACATGTTGTTGTTGTTGTTCTTGTTATTATTATTGTTTGTTAATGTGCCGGAAACATCGCTTGTAACTTTAGTCATAAGCAAGTTTGAATTGTATTCAGAATTTAGCCAATGAGCTCATGACAAAAAGTTTCACTCAGATGACGTCATGGCCAACAGCATTGAACTTGATCGAGAATTTTATATGGCAACAAAAAAAAACTAATCGACAGTTCGTGAGATTTCAGAGAGCGAGAGCAGCATTAGAAAAGATGATTCATTAACTATACAATTATTGCGCAAATGACGTCAACAAATATTAAAAAAAGGGTTGCACTTGAATTATTTGTATATTTTGTTGTCGTTAAAAAAAAAAAAAACAATAAACAGCTAAAAGTCACAGCTAAAAAACCAGCTAAACGAGCAGCTGGTTTACCTTCAGAGATCGCTATTCAAATTGGAACAATTGTTTAGTGCACGAGAATACACACGCAGCCACAAGTAGATGGATAGACAAGTACACTTGGAAAAATTGCACTAAAACCAAAAAAAACAACAAAAAAACACCAAGTATATAAACAGCACGCACACACGATTCTTGTCCCATCTCCCTGTGGCTGTGTGTGTGTTTGGGTATTAAATTACGCATGCACGCGCGTCTATTTTTAATAAATTTTTACCGTTGTTTACGTCCTGTTGCGCGCGTCGCTTACAATGTAAATATACGGAGTACGCGCGTAAAATGCCGGCTGCGAGTCGAATACAAAACAAAAGCTCGCGCAACACGCTCCACGTCCAATTCGTTCAATGAATTGTTTTCAACTAAATTGTCGTTGGCATTAGCGGCCGTGCTGCTATATCGATAGTCATAACGCAATATATCGAGTAAGTATCGATGCCATAGCTTTCGCAACTAGTTTGCGGCATATTTATAATACTGTTTAATATATAAATTACATTTGCCTAACAAACAAATCAAATTATTTTAAATTTTGTTGTTTTAAAAAAAATATGTGATCTGATTGGCAAATATAAAAAGCTTTCATAAGAAAAGGCGCCAAAGTTAAAATAATCGATAGTCTATTCAAAATAAGTAAGCACGAAAGTAACAACAGATGGCGCTAAAAAGATTTTGCGCGAAATAACCAGCATCTAGCTTCAATGTAAGATATTTTATGTATTCAATTAATAACTGCTCTTAACAAAAAACCGGTCACGAATCGCTGAACTTTCAAGTAAATATTATTGAACATCACTAGTAGGTAAAGTCTTATTATGAAGCACACAAACAACAATAATTAAATCAGAGACATGACACGCAAAAGCAATGAGAATGTGATTTGTTCAAAACGGGTAAACTTGCTGGTTTCTCTTCCCAGTTGGTAAACAACAAAAGACGCTGCAGCAAACAAAGCTAATACCGACAAAAAAGGAAAAAAATGGACGACGGATCGTTTCTTTTCCTATTGGGCCTCGCGATAGCGACACCTAGTGGCGCAGCAGGTAAGCTAAACTTGCTTAAAAGTTCCATTTTAATTTTGAATATCCTTCCTTTGCCAGTGGCTGAGACGCAGCGCGTTATCTCTCCCGAGGCAATCTTTTACAGATGCTTTGTGGATAAATATCAAGTGACGACAGGTAGCTGTAAATTACTGGAGGATTGCCCCGCCACCTCAAGGCACCCAATACCCATGAACTGTTATTTTAAGAATTCCAAACAGTACGTATGGTGTCCGACCCCTGTTACACGAACCAGAGTTAAAGGTGCATTTCAAATAGATACATCGACAACCAGTGACTCACAGTCAAAAAGTCATGCTTTACAGGTTGCGATTACGCTCGTACCCGTCCCAGTGTTTCGGATGGCACACCCACTGAATACCGAGAGTTTCCCTTCATGGTCGCCCTCGGCTGGCGCTCGAGCTTCGATGAAAGCATTCACTATCGCTGCGGGGGCAGTCTCATAGCATCCAAGTTTGTGCTCACAGCGGCGCACTGCATCGACTTTGGCGGACAGGTGCCCGTAACGGTGCGACTGGGCGGTGACAATCTAACCATGGGCATGGGCGTCGATAATCAAATCCGGCGCATATTTATGCATCCCGCTTACGATGAGAAAACCGCCTACAACGACATCGCGCTGCTGGAGCTGGAAATGGATGCGCCGCCAAGCTTGGTTCCCGTCTGCCTGTGGCAGCATGCGAAACTGGCAGAGAAGGAGCTAACAGCCGTTGGCTACGGACAGATCAGCTTCACGGGTCTCTCCTCCTCGCAGCTGCTCAAGGTCGATCTGCAGCACATCAGCGACGACCTGTGCCAAGACTACTACACACGCGAACTGCTCGCCGAGGGCTTGGCTGCCAGTCAGCTCTGTGCAGGCGACACCAAAGGCAAGGGCGACACCTGCCAGGGTGATTCCGGTGGCCCGCTGCTCATGAGATCCGATTTGACATGGTATGTGGTGGGCGTCACGTCGCTAGGTCACGGCTGTGCCACCGGACCGCCCAGCATCTATACGCGCGTGTCCAGCCACCTCGACTGGATTGAGAGCGTTGTTTGGCCCGAACCCGAAGTGCAGATAGTGGATTCCCATTTCGATCCGAGTATTTTCTTCTGAGGAAGGCCACAGCTGCCTCCCATATTCAGTAAGCCGGAATCGAATCCAATCACATGCCTCATCATCAATTATTCAAATTACATCGTGAGCTGCCTTGGGCAATTGTTAATTAAATATGAATTTACTTACGGTAATCCACTCCACTTTGATTTGTAGTTATTCAGAATTTATTTTTTTTATATTATATATGAATATCTAATTTTTTTATTTTTCAGATTTTTTGTAAAGCATACTTTGGATATATTTGGAAGCACCCGAAAGTAGGCTTCAGGAAAATTCGGTGGAAAACCGTGAAAATACACTCTAGGCACTGACTATATACACACTTACATAAACAAATAAATATACTCAAAAAATACTTTTAATTTTTTAATTCATTTCTGGAATATTAACAATAAATAAATTAGAGAATTCTAAAAATATAAATAAATATAAAATACATATTTATATACATGATAATCGAATCAAAAAATAAAATAAAATAAAATAGAATATCATAAATAAATTCATATTTAATAGGCATTAACTAGCTTATAAAACAGTCCACGATCTAAACAAAATAATAATAATAAGTCAATTTGATTTGATTGATGGGTGAAGCCTGAGCTTAAGGCATGAGTAATATTTGAAATAAGCTGAATCAGCGGTGAATTCCCGCCGATTGAACTTGGGAATTTACTGGACGAACTGTGACCTGCCTCAGAAGGAAATACGCAGATCGAAATGGGGATCCACTGTCTGCACTTCGGGTTCGGGCCAGACAACGCTCTCAATCCAGTCGAGGTGGCTGGAGACGCGCGTATAGATGCTGGGCGGTCCGGTGGCACAGCCCTGACCTAGTGACGTGATGCCCACCAGATACCATATCGAATCGGATCTCATGAGCAGCGGGCCACCGGAATCACCTTGGCAGGTGTCGCCCTTGCCTTTGGTGTCGCCTGCACAGAGCTGACTGGCAGCCAAGCCCTCGGCGAGCAGTTCGCGTGTGTAGTAGTCTTGGCACAGGTCGTCGCTGATGTGCTGCAGATCGACCTTGAGCAGCTGCGAGGAGGAGAGACCCGTGAAGCTAATCTGTCCGTAGCCAATGGCTGTTAGCTCCTTCTCTGCCAGTTTCGCATGCTGCCAAAGGCAGACGGGAACCAAGCTTGGCGGCGCATCCATTTCCAGCTCCAGCAGCGCGATGTCGTTGTAGGCGGTTTTCTCATCGTAAGCGGGATGCATAAATATGCGCCGGATTTGATTATCGACGCCCATGCCCATGGTTAGATTGTCACCGCCCAGTCGCACCGTTACGGGCACCTGTCCGCCAAAGTCGATGCAGTGCGCCGCTGTGAGCACAAACTTGGATGCTATGAGACTGCCCCCGCAGCGATAGTGAATGCTTTCATCGAAGCTCGAGCGCCAGCCGAGGGCGACCATGAAGGGAAACTCTCGGTATACGGTGGCACGGCCATTGACAACAGAGACGGTTATGTACCCAGATTCCTCGCAAGCTGTAAAATAAGACTCTTCGTCTGTGAGGAACTTGTTATCAACGTATATATTTGATACGCACCTCGGACGCTTCTCCGTTGTGTAGGCGGCTTCAGTGTTGTTGGCGCCACCTGTGTGCCATTTGAATAACTAGGGTTGGAGCAACATACGTACTGATCGAACTTGACAAAATAACAGGTCTTGGGAATTGATTGCTTTAAGGCAGCGGGGCAGTCCTGCAACAATTTACAGCTACCTGGCATCTTTTGCGCATCATCCACAAAGCATTCGTCAAAGGTCTCCTTGGGAAAGATAATGCCGCGCTGCGACTGCGGCCGTATGGCGGGGTGAGCCGCTGCCAATGAAATGGTACACAAATTTAAAATGGGACTTTTAACAAAGTGAAATTTGCAAGTTACCCGCTGCGCCGCCAGGTGTCGCCATCGCGAGGCCCAATAGGAATAGCAACGATGCGTCGGTTGGCATTTTTTCCTCGTTTGTTCAGTGACGCTCACTTTATTTGCTGCTGCTGCTACTGCTGCTCTTCGCCAGACCTCGCTTCTGACTGGCTAACTCTTTGGCGCCTGCGCCGCTTGTTGCTTTTCGACTGGGAAGCGAAACCAGCCAGTCAACTCTTTCTGAACTGAAATCATACGCTCATCGCTTTTGTGAGCTACGTCTCTGACTTAGCAATTACTGTTTGCTTGCTTCAAAATTAGACTTTGCCAGCTCGCGATGTTCGATAACACGATAACACGTGCTTGATCGAAATTACACTAACATTTATTCACCACATAAGACTTTTCAAGCTGACTTTTTGAGAAGCCAGAAGAGCAGTAGCTACAATGACTTTTCTCCTAAAATATACATGTCTCAAAAATGCGTGGAAATATAATAGCATATATATATATATATATATATATATATATATATATATATATATATATATATATATTTATTATAAATATTTCTTTAATATGTACAATTTGATAGCACACCCTCTATTGAGCAAATTTACAGGGTATTTGAATAGAAAAAGTTAGAATCGAAGTGTATAAAGTCAGTTTAAAATATATATAAATATGCCATGTTAATGTGGATTAGGAAGTAAACCTAAGTAAATACATATTTGAGTGCTTCAGTTGGGAGTGCCCGATTAGGAAATACCCTGAACTTTGCGCAGGTATTCTTGGCAGAAACTTGGATAGTTAACTTGTAACTGAAGAACTCCAATTCAAAGAATCGAGTATTATATATATATATATATATAATGTTTTGCCTCTAACGAGATGGACAGGGCTATATCGATTCAGTTCGTCGTCTCGATCAAGAATATATACACTTTATGGTGTCTGCCACACCTCCTTCTGCCTGTTACATGCACTGTCAGGAATCCATTATACCCTTTCCAATGCGTTGAGGGAACATAAACATAGCTAACGTTACATTTCAATGGCCTAATCTAGGTATAGTTAGTGATAGATCACATATTTGTGATGCGTGACTCGTGATTGGTTCGATTTCACTCGAAAAGTTTGTGCAGCTGTTCTGTGGAATGCAGCTGCCAATGCAGACCGAGATTGCGCCTGGAATGGCGAATTGTGCAGGTAACGTATAAAAGCTCCAGGGCGACAAGCGTTACCGACAGTTGCCCAGAGTCAATCCAATCAATAGATGAAAATGCAGTTCGACAGCCTAAAGTATTTCATCCTGTTGCGTCTGCTGATCCTGTGCAGCTTTATGGTGCCGGCACTTACCTATCTGCCGGATGTCAATATCTTCACCAATTATCGCACTGAGGTTTACAATGGTGAGCTAACGGTTAATTCCTGTTCCATTTGATTCCTTTTCACATTTCTTGAACACTCGATAGGCATACCCTCGGACATTGACACTACCCCATTTATCCGGATTGGCGACAATTACTACTATATCGAGCCGATGAACAAGGTGAACTGGTTTCAGGCAGCGGCATCCTGCCGGATGATGAACGCCCACTTGGCCTCGATTGAGGACAAACCGGAAATGGAGGCGCTGGTCAAGTACATCAAGGCGAAGGGATTCAAGAACAACGATTACTTCTGGATCTCGGGCAATGATCTCGGCACCGAAGGCGCCTTCTACTGGCTCTCCACGGGCCGCCCCATGACCTACGCCCCCTGGAACGGACCCAAGCAGATGCCCGACAACTACGGCGGCAACGAGAACTGCGTGCACATGTTCGGCACACGGGAGCTGATCAACGATGCCAACTGCAAGATATTGATGCTGTACGTGTGCGAGGCCAGCGATCCCAAGACCTTCAAGTTCACCTACATCAAGTGGTGAACAGGCCAACAGGCCAACATCCTGCAGATAGATGCATGTATACATACGTACATACCCACACATATTGTTTTTGTTTTTTGCTTTGCGTGCATAGAACACGGCATTTATTAGGCGGTTGCTAATGCAACGGCTGTCACTTCATCATTATCATCATCATTTACATAATGATCGTTATTCGTCTTACGCATCAATTTGCAAGGTATACATTACACATCAGTTGATTTTACGTTTTATGCATATAATAAATTTGTTACGAATTCATCTTAAATAACTATAAATTTTTACCATACATACATGCATACATAGATATATATATCGTATCGTATCGTCGTAGCTCATATTGTATTGGCTACAAATATCGCATAAATCAGAGTGCATAACAATCGCTGTAGCCGATAGTTATACATCGATATACATACACACATGTATATATATATATATGTATGCCTTTGAAAAGTACACAAATTAAATACACTGTTATATATATATATATTTATATATATATAATGTGTGTATGTATATAAAAAAAACCGTTTACATGTTACAACTTACTTGGCTAAGCAAACAGTGATCGGATATTGGAAAATTTACGTCATAACCTCAACACTAATATTAATAATGTTTAACTAGTATGCGTCCTGTGAATGTCTGACTGTGTGAGTGCTACTAACATATGTATGTATGTATGTATGTGTGTGTGTGTGTGTGTGGTTGTAAGTCTTAGAGCTTAAGCCTAACCTAACATTTTTCTTTCAACTGTTTTACACACGCACGCACAACTGCAGTCATAGGTATGTAAGAATGTACATATGTATGTACGCTTGCATATTTATCAATTAGTTCATATATTAACTACATAGTATTCATATATATATATATGTATATATATATACACATACACAATATTTAACAGATGAGTGCATAAATTTAATAATTCTTATTAGTTTTACTCTCGACATTCTAACATTTGTTCGTTTGCTTGCTATGCATGTGTGTGCGTGCGTGCAAGCGCCTGTGGCTGTGTTTGGGTGTAAGGTGGGCTTCAAAGCAGCTGCCAAGTTGCAAGCTCTTTCTCCTACTCTCTCTCTCTCTGTCTCTCCCGCTATCTCAGCTGCTATCGAGAAATGATTGTGCTCGTGGGAGGGAAGGGGCGGCTAAATACCTAATTTCTGCAGCTGACAGTTGAGAAAACACTGGCGCACACCAGAACGACGCATAAGGTTGCCATATCTTATAAATTTCTGAATTCCTAATTACTATAAACACAAAAAAAAAATATATGAAACGAACAGCCTAAAAAATGTTATACATGTACAAAGTCTAAATGTTTTTACTCCTTTCTCGCTTTCTCCTTCACGTTTTTCGTTTGTCGATTTTAAAAACCTTTCTCAAAATGGCAGTACGTTTAAGACTTAAGACTCAAATAAGGGGAATAGAAGAGCTGGGACCAATGGGAGCATCTTTTGCCAGAATAAACTAACAAACAGGAAATTATTCACACATTTATATATATATATATATAAATATGTGTACATGTACACTAATAAATGGCAGGAATTGCATATATGCATATAGTAAGTATATGATAATGAATAATTTTACAATTGTTTTTGTTTTGTTGTTGGTTTGTCGGTTTTTCTTTTTCTTTTTGTTTTGGTTTTTGTTTTTGTTTTTGTTTTATCTCGTTTTGTTGTTTTCTTTTTTTTTGTTTTGCTTCGAAACACATCGCATTTTCACATCGCGTGCAATGTGTTTGTACAATTTTTGTTTTGTTTTTAGTTTTAGGTGCAGAACTTTTAAATATAATAATCATAATAGGGATATTCAATAATGATAGTAATAATAATAATAATAATAATAATGACAATAAAAACATTCAGGCATTAATAAAAAGATGCAGCTTATTACATAGTTTTTTTTTCTTTTTCTTTTTTTTTTAGTTTTTTTTCTTGTTTTCTTTTGGAGCTTATAGAAATTACATAATGCTACTAGTTTCTATTGATCTATGCATAGATTAGATTAATTTTTTAATTTTTATATTAATTTCCTTTCTTTTCTCTCAGTGTTAGGGGTTTCTTCTCCTGTTCTCCTCTTTAGCCGCGCAATCTCACTTAATAATATTAGCGTGATATTTGCGCGTGGATTTCGCTGCTGGCGCTGTTTGATGTTTTTTTTTTGTTAAACATTTTCAATTCTATTATTTTTAAACAACTTCTCTGTTTTCGGTTCATTCGAACCTATTGATGCAGCACTTAAGCTCTAAGCAAAGTAATTCATTAAAAAAAAAAGATTTGTTTTATAACTAGGGAAACAATAAAGAAAAAAAAACACCTAGTTGTTGTCTTATAACTATATAATCCTATACAATTCTTGTTATTAAAATAATATAATATATATATGTGTGTGTATGTATATACGTACTTAAATTTCGTACTTCACATTGCGCTTCACATAATCTTATATTATATATTTATTTCCTTTTTGTTTACTCAATATATATTCATATATATATATAGAATTTTTTATTTTTTAATTTAATTTTTTTTAGTGGTTTTTTTTCATATTTATTTTAAAAACAAAATGAAATACCAACTAGCGCACAAATAGGGCAAATTGTCAAGTTGACTAACTGTATATATATATATATATATATATGCTATTATTATACATATATATTTATGTATTTAGGAAAGTTGATGTATGTTTGTGTGTGTGTGCGAGTATGTGTGTTAGAGGCGCAAGCGAGACAGCAATACACGTACAATACACCGATTGCTAATGGATCGAATGTATTTGTATCTTTTGCAATAATCTTTTTCTATTAAGAGAGAGGAGAGTACATACAGCTATAGTTACAATAAATTTCATATATATATATACATACATATATATATGTGTGGGTGTATGGCGATTTTCTTCTCTTATTTCCATTAGTTTTTGTTAAGGGATATCTATTGATTTTTTTCTTCTTTTTTTTTTTTGGGGTTTTTGGGTTGAGTATATAATTTGTTATATTCATTAAGAACCTTGAAATGCAAAATTGCTACTAAAAAGAAGTATTATATATACATATACATATGTATATATATATAAATATATACAGTTACATACGCGTACATCTGCGATATGTCTACAAGCAATTACATATACATCAATAAATATTATGTATACGTATACATGGTTATATGCACATATATATATATATTATATATATATATATATACATATATATATATATATATATATATATATATATATATATATGTATATATATAATTTTTTTTTTTTATGTATATATATAAATGAATCAATAAATGAATGATTGTGAATGCGAATGTGAATCTGCTATTCAAACTATCAAAAAAACATAAAAGACAAAATAATAATAACTATCATAATATTCTTAACGCACGCAGCTAATTAGATTAATGCACATGACGGACTATTGCCATCTCTCGCTATCTCACTCTTTCCATCTCTTTTTTCTATTATCTGGTTGCGACTAAATCTGTTTCTATCCCTCTCATTCGCTTGCTTGAACTGGATTGGAATTAGAACTGAGTTTGAGCATCCTCTTTAGCGATCTTCTGTCGTTCCCACCGGACCGGAAGTCGAGTCAGCGGATTCACCACCAGAACCGCAGCGTGGGGAACGGGGTGACGAACTTGAGCTGCCAACTGAGGATTCAGACGATATGGAAATGATTGAGGAGGATGAGTTAACCAGACGAGTGTCACGCATTTGCTGCAAACGGCTGTGGCCGCCGCTTTGGCTGCTGTTGCTGCTGCTGCTGCTATTGCAGCTATGCGCACTCGCTGCTGCTGCTGCTGATGTGCAGGAGGATGATGATACTGTGGGCGAACCTACCACTTTAGATGCGTTTGATTGAAAATGTCTACGATGCTGTTGCTGCTGCTGCAGTTGCTGCTGATGGTGATGATGTTGTTGTTGTTGTTGCTGCTGCTGTTGCTGCTGATGATGCTGTTGCTGATGATGTTGATGTTGATGATGCTGTTGAAAACTACCGCTGCCAGTGTTACCACTATTGCTATTGCTGCTGGACAGCCGCAAATGCTGCGGCCGTTGCTGCTGCTGCTGCTGGGTGTGATGGCTGCTGTAGCTGCTCTGCTGCGTATTGGAAATGGATTTGGTCAATTGTTGTTGCTGCTGTTGCTGCAACGGCGGCGGCACATAGAGCGGCTGGCGGTAATATGTATTGGAGTGATTGCGCTGACCCGCTGACTGTTGGTTATAGCTTCGATTTGCAGTGTTGCCGCCACTGGTGCTGCTGTTGTTGTTGCAGCTGGCTTGGACGTGGCTGGTGGTGGTGGTTGTAGTGTAGACATGGCTGTTTACTGCTTGATCCTCCAGTACTTCCGCCGGGGCATCTCGGAGTTGTTCCATGTCTGGCTGTTGTAGTTGTGAAGAAGATATACATGTATGTTGGCTTGGCTGAGCCTGTGGCTTGGCTGGCATGCTGGCCGCAGTTGCTGCACCGGCGGCGACGCCGCCGTTGGTGCGCAACAACAATTGAGCACGTAGCGTTGCGACATTTGAATTGGGAGCAATTGCGGCCAGCATGGCACAGCCGACGGCCTGCTGCTGCTGCTGCTGCTGGTGCTGCTGCTGCTGCTGCATGAGGCCGGCAGCCATTCATCATGTATCTAGGCGTGTAGGTGTGTGCATTACCGACGAGCCCGACAACGAGCTGTTGCTGATCGCCACCATGATCGGCTTGGGTACAGTCACTGGCATCGCTGGCACATCCAGTCCATTCGGCGGCGAGGCGGTGATGTCAATTATTTCCATAGCCTGCTGCCCGATACCAGTTAGCGACTCTCTATCTCTATCGCCAACCTCACAGTCTTTGCTGTCCTCGCTATCCTCCGCCGAAGAGGTGCTGCCTCGCCGATGGCGCAGCGCCGTCATATTGTTTAGATTACCAACCAGCTGACCCTGGGGCTGCAGCTGATGCTGCTGTTGTTGCTGCTGCTGCTGTTGCTGTTGTTGGTGTTGCTGGTGTTGTTGCTGCTGCTGCTGTTGCTGTTGGGCAGCAGCTGCCACTGCCGCCACAGCTGCCGTATGATATGTCTGCGTCAGCGTGTGAGGCTGCAGTACCGGATGATATATCTGGTGCACTACGGTACCAGAGGGCAAGATCACATACTTGGCGGCGCCGTTTGTGTAGGCGGGCAGCGATGACATCGGATCCATGGCCGTTAGATATTCAAAGTTCTCGCGTATCCATTCGCGATAGTCAATGACGTCATCGGTAATGTGAATAATTCGACCTAATTCACGGAGTGATACAAAATGGTCAAGAATTAAATAAACATATTGAGGGTGGGGTTTTATATAACACTCACCCAATATGGAAGTCTCGCGCACATCGTTGCCCCAAAGATTGGATTCGCTAACGGCATTGTTGATTACACTAAATGCGCATCGGAAGGCCTGTCGGACATGGAGGGCACCGTAGCTGCTGCGTCCGATGTCATTGCCGGGCGTTAGGGGATCCTCAATGCAGAGCAATGACGGTCTGTGGCCATCGACCATGTCCCGCTGCAGTTCATCCTTGGGCATATAGCGTCCGCCATTCTTAATCGAAATACCAATATTTATATAGTTGAAGCTCTGTCCATATAGCTCAAAGAACTCGAGCAATAGGACGCCCAGATTCGTCGTGTCATGGTATATGCCACGCGGATGCAGTTGCAGGAAGCTAATACACATGAGTATCAGTGAGTACGACGAGATGCCGCCGGTGAACACCTCGTTGAGATCGCGCAACAGCAGAAACTGCTTTAGCACCAGCACCAGCTTCCCCAATACCGGATAGTCGCGCTTGAATTGTTTAATCAGCTCTGCTGATTGCACGCCCGATTGCATATTGAACGATATGTCGACCTTCACCTGTGTCTCACGATCCGTTAGCTTAATGATCGGGACCGACGCCTTGTCGAGCACCCGGACCGTACATGCCTCGGCGATGCCGCGCGCCACCAGCTCAAACTCAAGAGTGCGCAACGGCAGCTTCTCCCAAAGGCCTGCAAAAAATGCAAACATTGCAAAAAATGGGACGGCAGGAAAAAGAGGCGGACGAGGCCAAGAAACAGAAAGAGAAAGAAAAATAAAAAGAAAATTTTATTATAAATAAACTACTCAAATTCATGTAAACACGTCCAACCGATATAAACAACAAGTAAGAGTGCTCCAGTCGGTAGTGTCCGACCTGTTAATACCCGGAACCCTGTGCTCAGCTGCTATTTCAATCATTCTGTTGGGAGTCATCCAAATTCCGATATATAAATATATGCATACATTGTAAACTTGTAATCTACACCTTTTGTTGTGCTGAATACCTAAATCAATGCACCGATTATTAGCGATAATGAAATTGGATGACTTATCGAAGAAATGAGATAAGATCGTACTGCGTATGTTATACGGGTGGTACGGGACGCACGTGGCTATATCGACATAGTTCGTCATTGTGATTATGTTACGTATGCCGATATACCCTGAATGGGTTCAGGACTTAAAAAGTTGACGAATATCCTCGTTGAACAATTTATAGATACTAAACTAAAGTCTAAACTTTCTGAGAATTGCATTGATTCATTGAGTGTGGGCCACTATAACATCTAGCTAACCATTATATATATCTAATAGTCACTTCTCTTGTTAATATCGTTCGTTTGATTTGTTTCTATATATTTATATAAGTTGAGATTAGTATCTAGTTATATCTGTTAGTTAACTCACCTAGTACCACGAGATCAATATCGGAGGTGGGTAGAAAGAGGCCGGTGCGAAAGGAACCAAATATTTCGACCACCGCCTGCGGCCATATGGAATGGACAACGGATTCGATGCGCTTAACCACCTCGTTGCGTATGGCATGCTCGCAGGCCGTAGGCAGGACATACTGATAGAAATGCTCGATCTCTTCGTGCAATCCAATTATACCTTTGCCATACTGATAGTCGCGCACACGCCACGGACAGCCCTTGTACTTGGCTATCATGTCGGCGTGCTTGTTCAAATTCAAAGTGCTCGACTTGTTGTCCACGACGCGTTTCCTACGCGATGGATTGTAATAGGTGTTGGCGCGCTCGTGCAGCGGCACCTTGGACGCGGGATTGGTTACAAAATTGGTACTGGTGCTTCTGCTGCTGCTGTTGCTGTTCGTGTTAGTGGTAACGGTGGTGGTAGCGGTGCTGCTGGTGGTGTTGCTGCTGCTGTTGTTGTTGTTGGTGTTGTTGGTGTTGCTGCTGCTGTTGCTGCTGGTGGTGGAAGTGATGGTGGTGCTATCACCACCTGTCGGCGTCGTTGTGCTGCTTGCAGCAGCAGTAGCTACTGCTGCTGGTGTTGCTGTCGATGTTACTGTTGCAGATGACGCTGCTATTGTTGCTGCTGTCGCTGTTGCTGGTGTACCGTTAGCTGAATTTGGAGTCACGTTGTTGCTGTTGCTGTTGGCGCTGGCGCTGGCACTGATGCTGCTGCTGCTGCTACTGCTGTTGCTCGCTGGTGAGTTATTGTCGTTGTTCGATGTTGAATCGATGGACGTGTTGCTAGAGCTTTTGCCTCCGTTAATGCTGCTGCTGCTGTTGTTGTTCCCGTGCCGTGCTGGCGTTTCGTTTAACTGCTGAAGAAGAATTTGTAATGAGTCGGGATCACGCAGGCTGATCGTAGAATCGTTGTTAATAATCCTAGACAAATTGTTTGTGGCCACCGCGTTGTTGTTGCTGTTGGTGCTGCTGTTGCTGCTGCTGCTGCTGCTGGTATTGCTACTGGTGCTGCTGCTGCTGTTGTTGTTGCTGTTGTTGTTGTTGCCGGTGCTGCTGCTGTTGTTGCTGGCGTTATTTCCGTTACTGTTGCTGCTATTGTTGTTGTTGTTGCTGTTGTTATTGTTGCTCTGCTGTAGCTGTTGCTCTAGAAGTGGACCCATTTCCTGGGAACTCGTTTCCCAAATCTTTAACCATGTGCGCAGCGCTGGTCCCTCCTGTTCCTCCTGAAACCAGCCAACACACGGATCCATTCAAATGGGCGTTTTGTGTGCTGGGCAGCGTATACGCTCCTTCTGCTTTCTCTCTCTCTCTCACACACTCCCTCTCTCTCTATCTCACTCTCTATTTTCTTTTTCTCTGTATCTCACACTCCCGCTCTCTCTGTATCTCACACTCCCGCTCTCTCTCTATCTCTCTCTCTATCTCTTTCTCACTCCTTGAAAAGATCTTTTACGTCTCTCACCCTCCCTGTCACGGTCGGTGTGTGCGGTCTATGTATACGTCTGTGTGTATGAGTGTGTCTTTGCGTGTGTGTGTGTGGTTGTGTGTTCTTATATATACAAATATATATAAATATATATATATTTATGTCTAACTGTGAGTGTTGACCAACTGACGCCGCCGCTGTTCCTGTTCCTGCCGTTGCTGCTGCTGGCGCTGTCGCTGTCGAGCTGCTGTGTAGAGCGGCGCGTAGTTAGACGAACTGCAAGTGCATCTGCAATTGCAATCGCAAATGCCTCTGGCTCTGTCTCCAGCTACTGCTCTGGCGCAGCATCGGCGTTCGATGACAGCGGTTGGTGCAAGGCGGTGTCGTTGTTGTTATTGCTGTTGTTGATGTTGTAGTTGTAGTTGTAGCAGTTGTGTTGCCTGTGAGCAGCTAAGCAAAGCTTGTCCGTCTAATCTCTGACGGTTTTCATAACAGTCCCACCAAATGTGCAACTACTCACTTTTTAAATTGGCAACGCGGCTAACTTGTTTGCTTGATAAGGCTACGCCCTGATATTTCGTCTCAAGCGTCTGCAACTGCAATTAAAGAAAACACACAATATTTTTTCTTAGTAAATCAAATTTGCCAAATATATACATAATATTGATTCCAGCTTATGATTTTGCATTAACAAACTCACGCAGCGTTGCCACCTGACACAAATAAATATTTAGCACTGACAACTGGCACATGCATGGCAACTCAGTCGTTCGCTCTCTAACGGACCCTCTTTCCCTCAAATGAAAAAAAAAGAAGAGAGATCATGCATCATTAATCGAGTCGTGACGTCAGGAATGCTCGATCTCATTGTACCATAGCAAACCCCAATGATCGCATGTGTTATCAAGAGTGGATTTAACTAAATAGAAAGCGCAAACAATTGCATTGCAAATTATGCGCTATTTTTCTACAAATAGAAATTCATTGGCGCCGCCTTCGCTACTGCAGCAGCCACAGCAGCTGCAAGCCAAATGCAGCTGAAGCGTAGAGAGCAATACCGGCGGCGGCGCCTCAGATATTCGGTTTTATACATTTTCTTTTTCTTTTCAGAGTACAAATGTGCTTAGCACTAGCCGAAATCGACAAGAAGCAGAGCCAAATGGGCCAAAGAAGACAATAAAATACAAACATACGTATGTTTATATGTATATATATATTTCAAAGTATTATATATGTACATATATACATACGTACATACATGCATGCGTTTTCGTTATCGCTTTGGCAAGCCAGCGAACATTGCTCACGAGACTACCGCAAATCACATCGTTTAGCTGTGTGCACGAGCGTGTCTCTGTATGCGTGTGCGCGCTCGTTTGCAAGATTGTGTGTGTGTGAGCAAGGGCGTACAGGTGGCTTATGGCGTGGGTGCCGGAGCGCGGGCAATGCAAATAGCGCGCACATGTATGTACATTAAAGTGTATAAGAAACGGCCGTTTTGTCGATTATGCAAAAAAAAGCTAACTGTTCATCGTACGTATTTTGTTAACAAATTAACTAACTTTCAAGCACAAATATCTATGTATGTACATCTGCAATATCAAGTTCAAAACTAGTCCAGAAATTATAGCACAAACACGCACACACACACAAGCACAATATTTTAACGCACGCGACACTTATATTTACCAGTCGAAATAGCTTAGATGCAGCAGCATTGATGTTTAATTAGACAAACACAAACATATGCATGTCTTTACAATACACACACACACGCACACATATACTTATATACATACACAATAAGTATATATATTTATATATACATTTGTGCACATATGTATATATACATATATACAGAATTTGGCTAATTAACACTTTCGGCTTTTTGTGGTACGAGACACAGGGAACACGATTTTCATTTTACAAATATATTGTAAATGAAAAAATAAAATAAATAAACAAGACGACCGACTGCGATTGAGACTGCTTCACTGTTAGCACAAATATTATACAATATTTTAGTTTTGAATTGTTTAAAACTTTGCTATCCGCTGCGTGTAATATTCACAGTTAAGAGCTACTGCTTTACTCCAGCGTTGCCGCATGCAGGGATGAGCTATCGTAAATATCGATACACATCATATGACATCGATTGTTTTGTGAATTTATTTAATTGCAAATACAAATTTGAAAGTTCATCCAACGGCACACTTTTTTAAACTATAGCAAAACCTTTAACCAGGCCAGTTCGGGTATAAATTATTACATAATTTTCGAAATAACAAATGGAAATATTTGGTCAATCGGTTAGTGCTACAAACAAATTATTGTTCCCTGCCTTCATTTTATTCGTGACAAAGTGAAAATTGATTTCAATTTTACCCGGCAAGAGCAGATGTTGCTAAAAACGCGCTATGGTCAAATGTAGGTCGGCGTTGCCACCTGATTTTAAATCATTATAAAGTACTGCGCAAAGTCGACAGTGGACAAGCATGTAAACATTTAATTTATGCAACTGTCCACAATTTGTGATAAATACAAAATAAAACCTTTTTAATATTATCAGATTAGACTTATCATAAAACTGCCACCCTCCCAATAGTGCGTATGGTAGTTGTCGCATAGCCACCCTCTGGCCCCCGCCCAAAACTACAACTACTACTAATACTACTACAAATGCAAAATGTAGCTTGCACATACATACACACGCATGTATATATTTTTTTATATATATGTATACATGTACAATGAGAGCAATACGCAATCGACGTCAAACATATGTATATATATACATACATATATACACAAGCAAAGAGAATCTGATTTAGCTTCTTTCCTGCCTCCGAATTGCTTCTCGCGTAATTCCGTTGGAATTTTTCACACACATTTTTTCTTTACCTTGACGAGTTTGTTCTCGTTGCGTTTGCGTTGTATTTCAAGTTTAGCAAATACACATACACACGCACCACTAATACACACACACACACATGCACATGTTCACCAAAACGACGATTCAATGCGATTAAAAGTTTCTTTTTTGTCTTCTGTTAAATAAATGTTTGACTAAATTTGGATAAAAAAAAAAGAAAAAAAAAAAATTACCCGCCCCAAGATTCATTTGTCATCGTTAACAAGCGATTCTGGCAATTGCTTTGCGCTTGCAGCATTTGTGGCAATCCTTATAAGCACAATTTAGTGCTTTCATGCTTTGGGAACGTCCGCTTGTCTGGTTGCTATGCCTTTTATGCACATATACACACATACACGCTCACAAATATGGACATACATACACACGCACGAAATAGTTCTTTCGAGAATTGCTTATTACCGTTTGCAATTGCATACAACTGCAGATATGTTCGCTAGTTGGTTACAATCAATATGCACTGTTTGTTCAGTGACTTTTGGAATTGGTTTATTTGCGTTTTTAAATAAATTAAAAAACGCCAGCGAAATTGCAATTTATCTACGAACACGCGACGGCTACGCAGTATTAGAGATTAACAATATAGAACGATAGTACATGCCCGTTCTTATCGATGTTAGCGATACTTGTGCGAAAACTATCGATACGTGTCTGAGCAGACGTGCCGCCTCTGGCCGATAAGTAACCGATTGTTATTTAGAAATATTAAAATTAAATTATAAATTTAAATTATTTCTATGAATTGTCGCCAACCAGATAAAAAAAAACTCAGTTTTGTTTTTGTTTCTGTTGCATACACACAAAAATTTCATTTTTATTTATTGTTTTCGATTTTTCTTAATATATTAGCTTGGTTGTTTGCTGTTCGTATTAGTTATTAACTTTTTCCAATTACAAATTAAGTACATACAGATAGGCTACGATTTCATATTGTTTTATTGTTATACTTTAAACTGTTGTCTTGAAACCAAAGAACTTCGTTACGTCGTGTCATTGGGAATGACAACATAAAGTATTTTTCTAACTTGTTTATTTGGTCATTTAGCTTGAATTGATTTCTGTTGTTTTGCTTTAGTTGGTTTCTTAAGTAAACTATTTGTTGAAATTACATAAAATGCGCAATGTACTTCTCTATATGTAATAGATAGATGTTTTTGTTTATATTTATATGTATATATATTTAGTTTTTATTTATTTATTTTTTTAATGTTTTTCTTTCAATAGCTTTTCATCTTAAACATTTATAAATATGTATTTCGCTTTACTATTTTTTGTTTATATATTTATATATATATATATATATATATATATATATATATATATATATATATATATATATATATATATATATATATATATATATATATATATATTTTTTTTTTTTTTTTTTAGGGCTTCTCGTTTTCTAAACATTTATTAAGAACTGCATACTCAACAATTATTACACACAGAGTTGTTTGGGCTTAAAGGTTCTTAGATATTTGTTTTGTTTAAGTTCGAATTTAATAAGTGTTTTTATGATGATCCCGATATTAATCTGTGTACAACATTTAAAGCTTGACTATTATTTTCAGATTTACCTATTATTGTTTGTATTCGTGTTTTAGCTTCTCCGGCTTCTCCGGGCTTAACCCGACAATAGAACTTAGCCACTTTGAGGGGCATATTGACGCAACATTCAACACCTGTATATATATATATATATATATTTAGATACATGTATATATCATTTAACTTGTTGCCTCGTTTAGGTCAATTAAAATTAATGGTAAAAAAATCTAAAAAAAAAAGTTTTCCCTCCTTTCTTCTCGGGTTTATCTTCCTCCACTTAGCACACAGATCTCGTATCTAAGGATGTTGTTTACTATTTGCTATTTGAGGACTTCATATTGAATTGGATGCCTCTTAGTTTTGGCCCTATTCGATTTTTGGCCCAAGCTTCGCTTAACGTATTATATGTTTTCCCCAATGCTAGTGCTCGTACTGCCCTCGCATTGGCGATGGGAATATGCATTTTTACTTAAGCTTTACGATTTCCTAGAAAAAAAAAGTTTATTGGTAATTATAGTCCATGGCATATTATGGAAGTTTCTTTTAAGTTTTCTTTTTTCATAAATTTTTTTGTTTTTGCTTGCTTTTACTATTCCATATTTGGCTTAGCACAGGACTTTATATATATATTTATATATATATAAATATAAATATATATATATATATATATTTATATAGTCGTTCTTTAGCGACTATCACATTTATTAATTAATTAATTCATTTATTTTTCTTTTTTCCTTCAATACGCATTTTAACATTTATTAAGAAAGCATTTATTTTAATACTCGTTCAGGTTGTGAAAAGGGGTATACGGTTCTTGATGCCAGTTCGACAAAGCTTTTAGCCTTGGCATTTAAAAAAAATGTATTCCAATGGATTCATATATATATATATATATATAGATATACTCTCTCTGTATATCTTTCGTACATATATATTCTCTACTCTGTGCCTGATATATTAGCAATGGCCAGTTGAGGCGTGCCGAATCGGAAATAAAATTGTAATTTCTATCATTTTTAATTACTTTTGATCTAATCTATAGATACAAGCAAATATTATGCTAAAATAAAACTAGTTTTAGAGCTAGAAATATTGATCGATCTATAGATTGCATGGTAAATTGGAAAATGCCGATTAGTACATAGATCGTGAACGAGTATTATGCAGTCGGTAGCACCGAGCTACTACTACTTCTTCTTCTTCCGCTTTCGGCTACATTTAAATTTTTCGTGTTTTAAAACATACAAGTTGGACATAAAATAATGATGTTGCTGTTTAAAATATTAATTATAATATTATTAATATATACAAAAAATAACATTCAGTCAAATATATATTTATATATTTATATATATATATATATATACATATGTATATATGTATATATATAATGTGTACATATGTTTGCTATATATTAGCATAGCTATTGATCTAAATCAATCTTTAAACCACACTCAAACACATACAAACACACACAAACACGCACAAACACATACATTAATACATACATACATGAATACACTCATAGGCATACATATATGTGAATCAACAATTAAACAAAGATTTTAAATATATATGTATATATATTTATATATATATGTATATATAAATACATATAATGTATATATAAATACACACACATATCTGAACTATCGTAAAATTTATAGCTAATTTGAAAATTTCAAATGCTAATGCATTCACTTAGTTGCATATTAAATCCCCTACGATATCCGAATACCTTTCGATCGAGACCCCATGACAAGCGATGGCATTTAAATCATTCTTTCTTTCTTGCTTTCGTTTTATTATCGTGTAAAACACAATAATGTTTATTAGTCAGTCGCATAAATGAATCACCTTGCTTTTGTTTTCATTACAAAAACAAAAAAAAAAAACACAAAAGAAGATCTTCTTTTGTTCGCCCAATTGTCGCACATCTCAGCATACATACCAATAAAAAATACTAAATAAAATACTTAAAAAATACTAATATTACAATAAACTCAACAAACACTAAATACCCTTGTAGACATACATCTATTCTATTTATACGTATATTACGATCTCTCATTATCGGAACCTGAAAAGTTTTCCATGCACAGCTTTAACGGTAATTCCAATACTTCCGTTGAATTTAGCCGTCTGACACATTATTGCTATGGCAGCTATATGATATAGTAATGCGATCCGAGAAAAGAAAGTCGAACTTTATAAGGTAAGCTTTCTAAGTCGAGGGTTTTGAATCAACAGAGACAGACAGAGACAGAGCTTAAAAACTTTCTACAAGAGTTGATCATTAAGAAAAATACTAAAAAAATACTACATTTTGAAAAATAGAAGATATATATAATATAACTAAAGATTGCCAAAGTTTTCGCTTACGCTCAATCGATTACACATTCACTCTAAATACAAAAAAAAGTTAAGAACTTTCAATTTTAGCAAAGATGGAAGAGTCGCCAACTCGCAAAAAAATACTAAAAAATACTAACTAATTAAAACGCTGATAGATCGTTAGTCTTTCAGTATTACTCAATGGATCAGTCACACTTTCACAATCATCAACATGAGTACTAAAAAATATATGAAATATATTTTTGAACATAAAAGAACTTTTTCTTGCATATGCAACTCAGTCACACACAGGCACGCACACACGCAAAAATACTTAAAAATACTAAACATACTTTCAAACATGAAATAACTCTTGCATACTAAAAAAAATACCAAGCATATTTGTAGTCATAAGACACTAAAAATGCCCACATTTTTTTCGTTTTCCGTTTTAAACATGTATTTAAAAGAAAGAGTCACACACACACAAGCAAACACACTCTTATACACATGCACACACTCTTATACAGCACGCGAGAGCTTAGCATTGGACTTGCTAATGGTGAATGATGCGCATCTTTTTGGCCAGCGTCGTTTCGGTCTGTTGGAGCTTGCGCTTGCTGCTGTAGTTGCACAGCTTGTTGGAGACTTTGCTAAGGGTCATTGCCGATGAGGTCATGAGGTCGAGAGCTTGCAGGCTGTTGTCCAGCTCGTCCAGGGCTGAGAGCGGCGTGGTGGCGGCTGCTGTCTGATTGTGCCGCTCGCCGGGATCGAGATCGATATCGATTAGCTGATTGGCCAGCGGATCCTCGTCGTAAGGATCGTAGGGGGGTCTTAATTATTGTTTAAACACAAACAGACCCGTTGGGTCCCACTCGTTGTCGTCGACGGGGCCGAAGCACTCATCGAAATACCATTCCATGGTCTTATACACATGACTCAGCGACCTGGTGATCGCGTGGTCCTCATCGGGATACACCTGATGGCGGAACTTCACCTGCTGATCGACCAATGCCCGCACCAGCATCAACGTATGCTCCTGATGCACCAGCGTATCCGCCGTGCCATGCATCAACATCAGATTCCGTCCCTTTATATTGCCCGCCTTCATGGTCAGATCCGACTCCTGCAGAGCGCGCAAGTAATCACCCTTTAGCGGTATATAGCGCTCCGTGAAAAACGAATCTAGTTTCATAAAAGACATTAGATATAAGTTCATACTATATATATACTCTGCTATAGTAGTAGTGGATTAGACTTAAGATTTGCTTTAAGCATTCGCTTAAAAGCTGAAGATTTGAAATGTCTTTTTAGAAGATCGTAATACCCATGCAGGGCGAATACATCTAGCTACTTCTACTAAGCTCAAGCAACTATTAGACAAATGTAGTTCAATATATTAGTTAAATATATATAATATATAACAAGTAACAGATATTTTAAAGAGCTCTTAAATACTTCTATATATATATATAATATATAGATAATATGTCTAACTGATACACAAATTTGGATTCAATTTGTATTCAATTTGGATTCAATTTGGATATCAAATAAAAAGTTGAAGTCAAGATTTTGCCATGTTTCTGTTTTCAGACTCTAAGTAAATGAAGGGGTTAAGTCATAGAGTATTATGTATTGCTTCATAGGATTGGATGGAATTTGTGAGTTTAGAAAGAGAACTAATCAGAGTAGGGATTTCAAGCATAGACAGATCACTGATACATACATATGGATAGATATAGACCTATGAAATATGGTTTTTATATGGGGAGATATGGAGCTCTGATATATGGCTAATATACAGGGAGATATAGACCACTGATATACGGTATATGGACAGATATAGATCACTGACAAATGGTAAAGGCGGGCAGGCAATAACAGCTTCATGTACTCTGTTCAAGTTGATTATTTTTTATGTCATACCAGCTAGAGTTCCACAATTTTTAACTATGGAACTGTATTTCATTATTCTTAAAAAACGATTAAATTGACAACTCTAAAATGCCAGCAAATATTAAAAAAAAAAATTAGAATTTTAATTTTAATTTTTGCTCGAAAGCTAAAGTCGGCTCTCTAGCAAAAGTAAATATATGGAATATATATATAATGCTTCTTCAATGGAGCCCATCAGAGTACAGCTGATATGAGCTAAGACGTTAAGCGTTAAGATGGTCAGGCTAACTTTCAGTCGGGCACTCCCGACTCGAGCTGATTGTCTTTTATGATACTCACAATGGTAGCCAAAGCTGACAATGGGATTGATGGCAACGGCGCACTGGAGCACCTGCTGCGAGTCATCGATGAGCATCATGGAGGCGGCGTAGCCGCCATAGCCCCAGCCGAAGGCGCAGATGCGCAGTGGATCAATGAACTTGAGATTGTCGCGCAAATAGCTGAAAGAAGTTCGAATTAGGCCAGCGGTGAGTGGGATGCGGCGACTGCTTGACTTACGTGAGCACGCCGAGCTGATCTTCGACCTCGACGGTGCCGAGCTTGCCGTGCACCTGGGTGCGCAGCAGTTCACCTTGATAGCCGCTGCCGCGTCCATCGATTTGGGCAACAATGAAGCTGCGCTGACTGCACAGATACCAATTCCAATCGACCTGAAAGCGCTCCGTGACCAGCTGGGACCCGGGCGCAGCGTCGCTAGATGCGGAAGAGTTGTTGATATAGCATATGGATATTCGGAGATACGGATCGAGACTTACACGTGTAGGACCAGTGGGAAGGCGACTTCCTCCTCCTCGCGCATACCTGGCGGCAAATAGAGACGTACCTGCGCATGAAAGCCGTGGCGTATCTCGACGCTAAAGGTGCGCGTCTGCGGTATGGCCAGCTGGGTTAGCCGATGGCGCAGCACATCGCCCGCATTGAGCACAAAGATCTTCTCGTTGCTGGACGTCTCCACTAGGTAAACGCTGGGCGCCTCCGGACCCAGGCATTCCTGCACGTAGTAGCTATAGTCGCGACTGAATTTGACGCGATTATACAAACAGTTCTTGGGTATGTCATAGATGCAGTCGTCGGGCTCCAGGCGCGAGACAATGTCCTCCCATTTCTCTCCGCGCTGCCAGGCTGCGGCGTTGGTGCTGCGTGCGCGATGCAGGCGATAGGTGGACTCCGTGTTGTCGCAGGTGAGGCAGGTGGGCTGCGTTGAGGTGATATACGTGCGATTCGTTTCGGTGACGTTTAGTTTAAGGCTGATCTTGTAGAGGTGACGTTCGCCCGGTCGCCTTTCAGGAGCAGCCATAAAATAAACGATTTCGCGCTGCTCGTCCCAGCCCACAATTTCGGTGACCTCGAATCGACCCATGGTCAGTGGGACGGGGCGCCGATCCAGCGACGATATGAACACCACATGTCGATAATGTCCATGCTCGCCATCCCGCACCGGCAGACGCTTCAGCAGATAGCCGCCGTTCGAGATCTCATACGTTGTCTGCCCGTTGGTCACGTTCGCCTGGCTGTCGTCCATGCCAGCATCGCCGGTGGCCATCTCCTGGAGCTGGCGCAGCTGGCTGCCACGCAGCTGGGCACCGATGCGCGCCGAAAAGATTGGTTGCTCGGCAGGCAGCACCCAGCCGTCGTTGATGGTCACCTCGGTGTGCACCACCTGGCAGTGGAAGTGTGGTGCCCGGCAGATGACTGTTGTGGCCTTGGTCTGATCACGGCTGGTTATCGTCACGGACAGATCAATGGGCGATGCCCAGGTCAGCCCACCCACATAGCTGCCATTGCCCAGATCCCCGGGCAGCTTGATCTGGGTGGGAAATATATACTTGATCACCGACAAATTGACCACATTGACGGTCACGTTCGGATTGCGTGCGCCCGCCTTCGGATAGCGCTGACTCAGCACCGCCGGGTACTTGACATTATCGCCCATCCACGTGTATCTGCCGGAAAGAAATAGAGATAATTGCGCACATGGAGAGCGAGAGAGAGTCAGAGAGAGGCTCTGCCATGTCATGTCCGTCAACTTATACGCACTTATATTCAATACTTCACTGCACCATGCTCTTATACTTCTATACGCCAGTAGCATATAATACATTGACTTTTCCCTGCAACTTTTTCTCTTTTTCTTTGCTCGTGATCCTTGAACTATTCATATCAATCTCTTATACTCACTTCTATTTAATAATATACTATCTCCCTCTCACTTAACTTATACTCACTAGCTACTTTTTATGTGAGACTTGAGACTGCAAGTTATGGCAAGCCCGTCAGTATACGCGGAGACGCGTATACTCGTAAACTCGGATACGCGGAGACGCTGGAGACGCGGAGACGCGGAGACGCGGAGACGCGGAGACGCGGAGACTCTTATACTCTTAATACTCTTTATACTCTTATACTCCTTAATACTCTTATACTCTTATACTCTTATACTCTTATACTCTTATACTCTTATACTCTACTCTTATACTCTTATACTCTTATACTCTTATACTCTTATACTCTTATACTCTTATACTCTTATACTCTTATACTCTTATACTCTTATACTCTATACTCTTACTCTTATACTCTTATACTCTTATACTCTTATACTCTTATACTCTTATACTCGTATACTCTTAATACTCTTATACTCTTATACTCTTATACTCTTATACTCTTATACTCTTATACTCGTATACTCTTATACTCTTATACTCTTATACTCTTATACTCCTTATACTCTTATACTCTTATACTCTATACTCGTATACTCTTATACTCTTATACTCTTATACTCTTATACTCTTATACTCTATACTCTTATACTCTTATACTCTTATACTCTTATACTCTTATACTCTTATACTCTTATACTCTTATACTCTTAGACTCTTATACTCTTATACTCTTATACTCTTAGACTCTTATACTCTTATACTCTTATACTCTTATACTCTTATACTCTTATACTCTTATACTCTTATACTCTTATACTCTTATACTCTTATACTCTTATACTCTTATACTCTTATACTCTTACTACTCACTTATACTCAATGACCTCACTCTCGACTCATATACAGATAAACATTTCACTTATACTGCGAACCATTCCGTGAACTACTCACTTATACTCATTGACTTCGCTGTCGTTGAAGCTGAAAAAGGCAAGGAACATTCCGTCCGGCGAGAAGGCAATGCTGCTCCGTCGACTCTCGAGCTCCGGCACATTCTCGTACGTCCAATCAGGCACACCGTTGTAGAAGATGCCCGCAGCGCCTGTCTGTGTGATGCGGCAGACGAGTTCGCCCTGCACCTTGGGCTTGTAGTAGATGTCGTTGTGGTGCACAAAGGCAATGGCCTGGTTAAGTGTATAGGCCGCCTTGGCACCACCACCACCACTGCTGTTGGTCTGGCCGCTGCCATTGGCAGAGCCACTGGCGCCGCCGCCGTTGGTCGTGGCCGTTGGCTTGCCTGCACCGCCAGCCGCAGCGCCAGCGAGACTATTTAAAATGATGCTACCGCTGGGCAAAGGCGACATGGTGGACACCTGGACACCAGCTGCTGCCGTTGGCGCTGGTGGCGGATTGATGGGTGCCCAGACCACGTGCTGCAGACGCGGTGCCTCGGCAATATTCTCCGTTGGTCCCAAAGGAAATGTGTTGGCGGTCTGCACCTCGTAAACATGATGTCTGCCGGAAGACATTTGGATTAAGCAGCTGTTTGGATGGGTCTATAGAATTCGTACCTGGAACCTTCGGCATTGCTGTCCGACTGGAGCAATACGTACTTCTGATCTGGTGCCACCAAAAACGATTCGGCATTCAATTGACGCTGTCAATTAGAAAATGAGGCAGAGTGGGGAAGTTACAGAGAGAGGAAGAGGGAGAGAGGGTCGTGGCTACTCACAAATGTGGAGTTGGTCATAAGAATGCGCGTGGTGTAGTCCGTCATATTGAGTATGGATAAGCCGCCAGTCGGATCGCGATATATCAACTCGTGATCTGTTTTGGATTAGAAAACAGAGATTAGACAAATAGTGGATCTGTCCAAGCTACGGCCCACTCGCTACCCACCATTGCTCCAGGTGCCATTGAATGGCTTCCATTGCAAGCTCTTGCTCAGAATGTCGCTGGGCAGCATGCGGCGTCCACGAATGCGCAGTCCCTCATCCTCCGGCGATAGCAGAAATATCGAGAATATAATCAAGCTGAAGACGGCGGCAATGACCAGCAGAGCTATGAAAATGCCACGCCAATTGCGACGCTCCGGCGATATGGCCACCAATTCCTGTCGAATAATCAATTCAAATTAATTAATCATTGCATGGAATATTTTAAATTCTAATGTCTAAAGAGAACTCCAATGTAATTCCATTTTGCACACTGTCCTAATGGTTTTTTTTCTCTCGCTTCTATTGGGCTTGGGCGTGTCCCTAATGCCAGCTTGCTGCACCCAGTTCTAAGTATTACGAAGGCCAAAAAGTTTTTATACAATTATTTTGTCGCTATTGACGAACTTTAATTAAGCAAATTGGATTAACATTTGGCAGAAGGTAAGCCAAATGTCACTGCGTAGAAGAGTTAATGAAACAAAAGTTATTTCGATGTCATGAAAATCGCAGAGAAGGGCGATGGAGGCATAGGAGCGATAAGTAAAGGCAGTGTAACAACTAAAAGAATTTTAATTAATTTTTCGACATGTTTACAAGGTATGTGATAGTCAGGCAATTAGAGTGAATTATTCAACAATTATTTAAATGTCATGAAAATCACATAGAAAGGCGATTGGGGCTTAGGAGAGACAAGCAAAGCACGTATAACAACTAAGCAAATTTTAGTTACTGTTTAGGCTGGTTTACAGGGTATCTGTTAGTCGAGAAATTAGAGTTGATTGAGCAACATATATTTTAGATATAATGAAAATCGCATAGAAGGGCGACACAAGCTTAGTTTCATAGTGCCTACAAATGAGTAGTTCGTTTCGTCTTTGACTTGTTTACAGGGTATATGTGAGTCACGTATTCAAGTGGTCATTTGAAACATCTAATTATGATGTTCCGTCTATTTGTTCTATCTCTTCGGTCTTACTACTGGCTTCGCCTTGACTTTCATATTTTTGATTGATTGCCCGGAAAGGAGAATGCGAAAAGAAAAATTGTAAAAATTGCTTTTATGTTATTTATTGGATTTCCTTCAGCTCCCTCAACTTCATCCTCTTCATCTTTATTTTAATAACTGAAAATTGTGGTTTTAATGAAATTTTTTCCATTTGCTTTTCCATCGATTGGCTTTTTGGCATAAAATAAAGTAAATTTAGTAAGAGAAGTGAGGAAATCAGGCCAAAGGCGTAAATGTAAACAAGTTAAAATGTTGCAATCGAGCACAAACCGACTGTGGGATACTCGCCCAAAAACAATTGAGCCTAATGAGTTTATATTTGCCAATTGGCCTTTATTGGCGGAAACTTGCAATGGCAAATTCTGTTTCAGGATTTCATTAAATGTTGTTGCCTTGCAAAAATAAACTTAGTCTAGGGATATATAAAAAATTAACTCCAATTATATTCAAAGTTTTGCAAAAGTCAAGCAAGTTCTGACCGATCTATAGAGTTTTTGAACAGTATTTTCGTGGCTAATGGGCGTAGCTAGATAAGCTCTGATCTATATGAATAAATAAATATATATATAAAAATTCAATTCCTCAAACAGAGCTCAAATTATAGTGGAAACTCTATAGTGTTCTCCAGTGTATGGCAAAACAAATATGCCCGTTCGACACATCGTGAGCTCGCTCACTAAGAACTAAAATCAAATTGCAAAACCAATTTGAAGGATGGATTTAGAAATTGCCAAAAAGCTGGAGCTGGAGGCAATCGATGAGAGGCAGCGGCTGCTTTTGCTCGCGAATACCAAATGCATTTGCTCATGTGGAACGAATGTGTGTGTGATGGATGGGACGGAGGCATGTGGGCGGTGGGGCGGTGGGGCGTCGCTAACAAGTGCTGCATGTGATGTGCCATTCCGGCGCTAAAGTCCTTGATGTGTGCCCTAATTGACAGGCGAATGCCAATGAAATTAAGGCTAAAATTTGCAAACATGCCCAGCAGCAGCAGCAGCAGCAGCGACAACAACAACATGAAGCAGAAGAGGAAGCCGAACAACAATAAAACTATTTTAATGCATTTTGCATGTGGTTCGTATGTGGCTTAGGGCTGACTGACTAAAAAGTTGCTCAAACTCTGAGCTGCTGAGCTCGGGGCAGGCAATTTACATGCATATTTAGAGAGTCGGAAAATTCACAACAATTTTTCATGCCGTTAGGAAGAAGCTACAACAGCACTTTTTGTATATACCCTAAAATCATTGAAATCTGGGTCAAAGGGTCTCAGAGCCTGTGAAAAAATGACGGAGCTTAAGCTATCTGTCTCTCTTTCGAAGTCTGTAGAATGATATTTAATATATATATATATATATATAGCTTATATAGCTTTCTCTAAAAGTTTTTGATCAATCTTTCTCTTATCGATAAATATCGATTTCTTGCAATGTTGTTTATTCATTATTATGCACTCTCATATTACAGGGTATTTCGCCAGTCGACTATATTGGTGCAGTATTTGTTTTTAACTCGTTTTTGCTTATGTTTTCTTTTGGAATTGAATTAAAAATTCATATGCACTTGCATTCGCCACTTGCCACTTGCCACCTGCCACCTGTCATCTGCCACCTGAGGGAGTTACGAGCTATTTGTGGATGCGTCGGCTAATGGGTTTCCTTGCTGCCCATCGAGTGAAAAGTGTAAAGTGCTAATTGAAATTATTTGTTAGTTGCCTCTGACAAAAACAGTTCCAATGACCCGAGGCTAGAGATGTCAAGCCGCTAGAGATGCTGAACGATTGGAGATGCCCTGTACCAGCTCCCATTCTGGGTTTTTTAATATTTTCGATCGCTTGTATCGAGCATTTAAAAAAAGACAAATAACACAAAACAACATTGCCTACACTAGGCTTATAAACTTTACCAAATATAAATAAATAAATAATTCTTGAAAAGCGTTATTTAAGATATAGGTTTATTTATTTTTTAAATAATTTTTTTTGTTATTTAAGATATATATAACAATTAATATTAATATTAATTGTTTGCATTTTTTTACTTTTTCATTTTTTATTTAGTTTTTCATTTTTTTAAGGAAGGATACTTTTAACTTTTTTTTATTTATTTATTATGGACTTTTTTCTATTAAAAAAAATAATTGTCACTAATATTAATATCCATAAATAGATTATTGAGCAAACATTATTATTGTTATTTAATATATTAAATATATTAAATACCTTGTTCTTTTAGCATTGTTGATGACTAAGCTTAATATTATTATATACCATAAAAAAGAAATAATATTTAAGAGTATTTCATTTTATTTCTTTCCTTTTTGTGATGTGGTTAAGTAATTTGAAAAGTATCGATACTCTTTGCAGCAATCTAATTGCTGTCCTCACACAGCTCCATAAAAGTGTCATCGCGCTACGCTCTGACGATTTTGAGCGTTATTATTTTTATGTTCACGATGACATACTCTGAAAGGGGTCGAGCTCTCCATCGAGTGCCGTCGCAGCTCTCTTCCCTCTTTAGTGTACAATAAAAAATGATGTTTTCACTGCTGTCATTAAGTGCTGAACAACTTCAATTGGCGTCCGAGGCGCCGGCCCCATAAGCAGTGTCGTAAATTATGCAATTCGGTGATCAAATTTTTTTGCATTTTCGCTTGTTTTTTAGCACCTAAGCACTTAAATTTTTTAGTGTTCGCATAACCCTTGCAACAGTTTACAAGCGCGTCTCTGGCTCTGGCCGCACTCGGAATTTTGTTTCTTTCTTTTTTATGAACCCATTGCGTTTAATATTGAATTTAGTTTGCCCTGCAGCGTCAGATTGTCATCAAAAATGTGTTTAACAATTCATTAAAGACTCAAAATTGAAGCTGTCTCTCCGAGTAGATACCCTGTCATGTCGAATATTATCAGCTTATCTCAGATTTAGCTGAGAGCAGCAGAGCTCACTTGGCTTCGTCTATAGCATATTTGGTAGCTAGTTGGATCTGTATTTAGCTTTAAGAAGTGGACACTATGTTGTCATATGAGCTCTGTCAGCAAAGGTGAAACATGAAATGAATATTCAAATAGCTCTCGTTATCGTTTCCATGCCGCTTTGCAGCTGTTTGCTCGAGTTACGTTTGCTTTGTAACCTACGAATGACAAATAATTTTGGCATTGTTCGAGCTTTGGATGGCAGAGAATCGTCCGGCGGAAGACTGTGCTGTCGGCGTGCGGTTCACAATTGCCACTCAATCAATGCGAATGCCAAATATGGCCATCTAAGCAGACGAGTTGCCATGGCACCTGCATAAATATCCGTAACAAGGCTCATGGCCCGTTGGATAAATACGTAGCCAGTCGTGTGGGTGTGCCGCACTCGACTGGCTCATGCCAACCACGTGTCTCGCTCAAGTACTCTAGAGAGGGTCAGAGCACAGCTCACAAAGGATTCTTGTGCCCTGGTGCAGGAGGTGCAGGAGCCAACCGCACAGGAGCAGCGATTGCATTTTATAACTGACTGTGGCACTGACTCTGACTGTGAATCTGAATCTGGCTCTGGTCCTGGTTGTGAGCGTGGTTTTGCATGGTGCTGACCGTTTGGCGTTGCATATATGGAATTCCATGCATGATACCTGCGCTGCACTGAGAGAAACTATTGCATAAAACCAGCAACAAAAAGACGAAGAATGAATAAATTATTGAAATTATTTTCATAATTTGAACCCTGAATACGAAAAATATTTATTCAGATATATATAATTCCCTGTGACTGCACTGAGAGAAACTATTGCATAATATCAGTGAAATATGGAAATCATGAAACTAAAAGCGCTTGCGCATGCACTGAGAGAAACTGGCAAGCAGAAGAGTGGAAAAATGAATAAATATTGAAATTTGAAATGAAATTAAAAGAACAATTAACTGAATGTATGCCTACATATATATATTTATAAATATATACATGTACTATATATCTCTAATCTATATCTAATCTATAATATATATCTTTTATTTATATAACTGTGTCGAAAGTTGAACTGGAGCAACAGTCGTGGCAAGTCTTTCCAGCTCTAAGTGCTCTAAGTACTTGAAGCTTAACATGAGGAAACTCGATCGATAACATTGTATCGATAAAAGTCTAACTATCAGTTAAAGTCAGCAGCATTGCTGCTTAGTTAGTTAGTCATAGATCT